TATCTGCTAATGATGGCACTCCGCTTAATGAAACAGATCACAGTAGTTACATAACATTACTTGGTCGTTTTCAATATCTATGTACTACTAGACTTGATATTTGCTATATTGTCAATCAGTTAAGCCAGTTGGTTGATTCTCCCACTACTGTCCATGAACAAGCCACTCATAGATTACTCAGATACCTCAAAACTACTCCCGCTCATGGTTTATTCTTTCCTTCCAATTCTTCTCTTTGTCACACTACCTTTCAGACTCAGATTGGGCTGGCTGTCCTGATACTCGTAGATTTGTGACAGACTTATGTGTTTTTGTTATGTAACTCTCTCATCAGTTGGCCTTCCAAGAAGCAACATACCATCTCGAGGTCTTCTGCCGAAGCAGAGTACAGAGCCTTAGCAGATACTTCCAGGAGCTTCAATGGATGATATCTCTGTTTAGCCAGCTCCCTATTCAACCTCAACAACCATACTCAAGTAGCCCTCTTGGTTAAGGCAATCGAGGATTGACTTACTTTCTCACTCAACCCAATGGTTGGACAGTTTAATCACGCTTAACCTCGTTGTTTAATTCAAGATAGAGGTTTGCTTTGCCCAACATTAACCTAGGTACACATACCAAAATTAGACCTACTTGTAGAACTTCAAAAGTTTAGGTACCAAAATGTCATACACAAAAATTTTAGGTACTAAAATGTAATGTTCCGTCAATATTTTGATGACTTATGTGCAAAAAAATAATTTTAGGTTATAAATCTAAAGATCAATTAAGTTTATGTACCGAACTGTAATTTGCATAGTTGAGGATTAATTCCTTTTATGGCGATGTATTTAAGATGATAATTATTTACTTTTTTATAGAAAAATGGAAACTATTATTTGATTTGTGTAGATACCTAGCCAAACATTCCATGTATAATTGTTGAAAATTCTAGCCAAGGTGAAAACGAAAACTCTAGAGAGAAGCAAAAGAAATACAAACCGGAACCCGCTTAAAATTTCACGCCGTCAAATCCCATAGTGGAAAATGATGACTTTCTAATAAGTAATAACCATATATATTTATATTTAATTGAACTCGACATTGAGTTGAAAAAGTTAGTGGTTCATAGTTCAATTATTAATTCTCTAGACTGTTGGTGAGTCGTATATGAACCCGTTCATACTTGTGATTAGAATACATAAAAATTGTATACTGATTAGGGTTAGACGAAGAAGACAAAGAAATAAATAAAGAAAGGGTTATGGAAGGCGAATGAAAAATGAAACGAAGAGTAAGTAGATGATGGAAAAGTTTTGACCAATTCTTCACCGTAGCAATTTATTGACATTTGCTTATATAGATGTCGCATATTTTGTTACTTGTAGTTAGTGGAAGTTTGTTTAGTACCCCGTAATGTACTAAATGAGTTTATAAAATTGCTCTTGTAATATTTTAGAGTCGTCTCTCTTTTATCATTTATTTAATGTTTCACGTAATGAGCACATATAAAATGGTCGAATCCTCTCCTACACTTGAGTAATACAACATCTTGTATGTTACAAACTAAATTTATACTTTTATGTTATGGTAGATTAGATTCGTGGATTGGTTCAAAAGGATTAGTGAATTGGATTCATGGATTCAAGTGAAATCTAAACATTGGACAAATATGTAAATTTTAAAAAATTGTAGGTAAGAAAATCTCATAAAATTTAGATACCAAAACATAATTTTTCAATGATTTTATATTAAAATTAAATTCGGGGTATCACAATATAAAATGGACATTACAATGACTAAGTTGTAATTTAATTAAATTTGGGGTATCAAAATGTTAAATGTATAGCCGCCCAATCAGCTAGTGAGTTTAGGCAACAATAACTTTTGGTGTATTAGATTAATGGGTTGGTTCAAAAGGATTAGTGAATTGGATTCATGGATTCAAGTGAAATCAAAACATTGGACCAATATGTAAATTTAAAAAATTGTAGGTATGAATATCTCATAAAATTTAGATACAAAAACATAATTGTTCAATAATTCTATATTAAAATTAAATTCTGAGTACCAAAATATAAAATGTACATTATGATTACCAAGTTGTAATTTAATTAAATTTGGGATATCAAAATGTTAAATGTATAGCTCCCAATCAGCTAGTGAGTTTAGGCAACAATAACCTCACTTGTGCTTTATATATATTAATAAATGGGGTATGGGAAGTAAGTTGACGCTGTCCATACTCAATCACCTAGTTTGTTTTTGCAAAAATAATGTTTTGGTTTGAATTTTTAGGGTAGTACTTTAAAAAAAATCAGTTTAGTATTTGGCTAAATAATTATTAGAAATATTTTTTAATATAAAAAATCATGTAAGTGACTAAAATGTACTTCTAATTATAAGATATGAATAAAAATTCTAAAAAATTTAAAGTAGTCAAAATAGATATTGTTAGATTTCTTTTATACTAAATAATATTTTTAATTTATTTTATTTCTAAAATTAATGAATGTATGTTTTATGATTTTTTTTTTAAATGGTAAGGATAATCTTATATTTTCAAAACATTTTTTTGCTTATGTTATAAAAACACTTCAGCTTTTTCAAAACTTTAGTATTTTCCAAAATCGAGTATTTTTAGGTGTTTGACGCAGTTTCAACTTTTAAACATTAAAGTACTTCTAATAGTCAAGCCAAACATAAACAATATCTTAAAACTCTGCCTTGTCCCATTTTCATACCATCAGTGAAAGAAGTTTAAAGGCAGTTAAATTTATATGCTTCTTTTTCGTTGTCGAATATACCCGATGATGAGTATTAAATAAGAAGTCTTGCTTTCGGATCACTTTATGGTCTTATATAATTTTCGAATCGAGTTGTATTATAGTTGTTCAGATGATCTCAATAAAAAAAGGCTTCACTGAAGAAAAGCTTTCATTTTTTTTTTTTTTTCATTCGTATAGTTAAGTGGGTAATGATTTATACATTGAATAGTAGAGAGATTAAAGTACAAGTTACCATCCATTTTCTTAATCGTGTTAAATACCCTTATATGTTATATATGTAACATCCACGTGGACCAAGTTGGGCTGAAAGACATTGAGACCTATAAATGAGTTTCTACACTTTTTGCTGTTGTATTATACGAGTTTACGGGTTTAACCCTAATCATTGTTCGGTATGTCCGTCGTTGCTAATGGACTTGAGTTGATTGTGGTATCATTATACAGATTTAGCATAAGGTTTTGTGATATGAGAGTGAGTTATCAGATTTAGCATAATGGACAACTGCATTCAACTGGGCAACTGACCCTCTCCTTCTTGGCTTCAACGAGCTAGAGATACAACTTGTTTTAGATGGAATTTCACGTGATCAATGTACCCTAATTTCGAGAAAAAAGGAAATGATGTTACTCGGTTCACACATTTTCAAACTTCCATAAAGCATAAGAAATCATGACCTGTGAGCCTCTTAATAATCTGATCAATGAAGAGTAGAGGGAAGTAATCCTTTGTGGTAGGCATCGTTCAGTCGATCATAATCAATGCTCACCCTCCAACCTATCACTTTTCTTATCGGAATTAAATCTTTTCTCATTCGACACCACAATCATGCCTCCCTTTTTTGGTAACACCTTAGTGAGACTGACCCACTCACTATCAAATAGATGAATCCTGCATATAGAAGTTTGATCACTTCTGCTTTAACCACTTCCTTCATATGAGGGTTTAACCGCCTCTAAGGCTGCACCACCAACTTAATGCCATCCTACATGAGGATCTTGTGGGAGCATAAAGATGGATTGATAACCTGGGATATCAATGATCTTCCATGCCAGTGTTCACTCATGGTTCCTCAGTAAGTCCACCAGTCTAGTCTTATGCTTGGGTGTGAGATCTAAGCCAATGATAACTAAAAGCTTATTCGCCTCCCTCGAGAAAACATAATCGAGGTAACTAGGGGTCTTAAACTCCAAGGCTGGTGGCTCCTCCAAGGAGGTGGTGATCCTAGCATATTTGGAAAATTGCTCCACAAGTGGCTCATACTCCTGTCACTTCATCCAACGTCATGAGATGCTCCACTAGTCGCGGTTCTTCAGATGCCTGATCTCCTATCAAAAGACATTACTTAAGAAAATCATCAGTACCAACACTCATGATAGCGAGTGTTGTCTTAAAATTAGACAATATCTCAATAATCCAGTTATCATGCATATGAGAGTTATTCATATTATTATGAATGGAAAAAGTTACTTGTTCATCCCCATTCTGCAGTATAAGTTTCTCATCAAGCACATCAATTAGTGCCTTGGCGGTGGACAAAAAAGGTCTATATAATATCAAAGGCACATCCACATCTTCATTTATGTCGAAAATCATGAAACCAATAGGAAAAATGTATGTGTCAACTTTAACAAGAAGATTCTTAACTATACCTCTAGGATGCACAATAGAATGATCAACCAATTGAATACTCATCCTAGTACTACTGGGTTCACCTAGGCCTAGCTTCTCAAACAATTTATATAGCATGACATTTATGATAACGCGTAGATCCGCCAAGGACTTTCCTACATGCATAGAACCAATGAATGATACATGGGATAGTCAAACTTTTCGGGCAGCTTGTTCTGCACCATGGCAAGCACTCCACATTTAGCATCACAGTTGGAGAGATCTCCAACCTTCTTCTTGTTGGTGAGGATGTTCTTCAAGAACTTAGCATACATGGGCATATGTGAGATAGCCTAGGAAGTACACGCGACAACAAGACGCAATTAATATTTTGTTACTGCTCATGTATTTACTTCTGTTGAACTATATTATACATCATGTATTTGCTTCATCAATCGTTGTCAGTGCCTTACGAGTTAGGAAGATCCATAATGCCTAACCGCTATATTCCACCTTATGAACGCCCGTTCTAACTCAACCTTCGGCTTCTAGGGCTTTCTTCTCTACCCGGTCTTTCTCTCCCTCTCTCGATCCGACTATATCAATCAATCAATCGCTTTCCGATGGCAGAGGATCAGGCTGTGAGATCTTCATCGACCGAGAGATCCACCGGCCGGGTCGTCAAGTTCAGTGACAAGAAGGGATTCGGCTTCATCAAGCCCGATGAGGGCGGCGAAGATCTGTTTGTCCATCACAGCGCGATTAAGTCCGACGGCGGATACCGCACTCTCGCTGAGGACGATCTCGTCGAATTCGAAATAGCTCTCGCTGACGAAAAGTGCCAGGCAATCAACGTCACCGCTCCAGGCGGAGCCCCCGTTCAGGCCGGCAAAAGAGGCGGAGGAGACGGTTACGGCAGGCGCGGACCCGGATTCGGCGCGCCCTGGAACCGCAGGAATAACGGTGGTGGTTTCGGCGCCGGTGCCGGGGGTGCTGGCTGCTACAACTGTGGAAACCCTAACCACATCGCTAGGGAGTGCAATAATCGCGGCGAGAATAACAGCGGTGGAGGGAGCTGCTTCAAGTGCGGGAATGCAGGGCATTTTGCTCGGGAATGTACGCAGGCTGCCGTCAACGGCCGCGGCGGAGGCGGCGGAGGAGGTTCCAGTGGATCTTGTTTTAGCTGTGGCGGGTTCGGACACTTGGCCAGGGATTGTCCCGGCGGCGGGGGAGCTTGCTATAACTGTGGAGGTTTTGGCCACTTGGCAAGGGATTGCACTAGCGGAAGGAGTGTTGGCGGAGGAGGAGGCGGCGGCAGGTTTGGTTCATCTAGTGGTTGCTTCAACTGCGGGAAGCCAGGACATCTTGCTAGGGAGTGTCCCAATAGCTCTTGAGCGGATGGACAAAGAAATATTGCTCTCTTTTTGTTTTTTCCATTCTTTTTGTGTTTGCCTCTGGTGTTTGTTCACTCGGATTTGGTTGGCTGTGGGGAGTTTTATATGTAGGATTTTGTGCTGGCGCAAGTGGGTGATTCAATCCTTCTCTTTCTAGGAGGAATTGCCCAATTTTGACACATACATATTTTGGTTTGATGGTTTGGTGGTGCTCTAGCTCGGATGAAGGAGATGATTTCTGTTTTCAATTTTCCACTCTGGTGTTCTCTTTTGAATTCTCTGTGTTGGGTTATTAGTAACTTTGCGGATTCTATCATCTAATCAAGCTGTTCTTACTTTTCTCAAGTGTGAAAGATGAATGTGTGGCAGTTGTGGGTTTGATTTGTTGTGCAATGCTTCTTCATTAAGAGTTAGTCGGTGGAGGCGTGGACTATTAATGTTATCTATGTTGGTTTTCTTTGATGATGATCAGGAGATTGTCTTTATACTCCTGCTTCAGATTTCTTTCTTCTACGGTTTTAGGTTCCTTCTCTCTTTTTGCTTTTTTTTTTTTCTCGGGATAAACTTCTGCATTGGGTTAGATAATAGATACATTCTAAAAAGGTAAAGTGATAGATTGTGTGAAGCTGCAATATGGCAGTCACCAGATCCAGGAAAGATCATCTTGCACCTATTGAAACATTCAGTTTCCCGGATTGATGCCAAGAGATAACATCCAGGCTTTGGCAAGTAATACCCTTGTTATGCTGGAGCAGTTGATGGAAAGCAGCAGCAGAACTGGCTGTTGCTTGGAGAGGGAATGTAAGAGTGGAGGCTCATTGTTCAATGGATGCCTTGAGTTTCTTGTTGTTTTGGGCTGTTTTTGGAGTTGGCTTTCATTTTGAAGCAGAGATGTTGGAATTGGTCGAGATGATTGCTCACCACGAAAAGGGCTTCCGAGTTACGTCGTTCCATTGGACTTGCGAAATGGATACCTGGTATTGTTTTCGTGCCTTTCTTTCTCTTCACAGCAGCATCATTCATTCTATGCTGGTCAGGTTCATGTATATTCAGAATGAATGCTTGATGTGCTTTGACAGACATTTCTCTAAAACTAAACTTTCTCCCTGTGTCTCTTTTACGTTGTTAGTTCTTGCTTTTAGCTTCTTCTCCACTCAGTTACTCCTCAAACAAATGAACCATCTTGTACCTAAGTTAATGCCAGAGCCCAGAAGATACCCATTTTCTGTGCTTCCCAAAAGTTGTGTTCTTTTGCTTTCGAATCTCTCTAGATTTGCCAAATTTGAGTTCTCCACTGTCAAACATGCATGTCGAGGCCATTAGTTTCAGTTTGGCATTTAAGCTGGCTGAGAGATTTCCATCAGGCCTGTTCCCTCTTGAGCTACTTGGAGAGCTTTCTTGGTAATATAACCTTCTGTACATGCAATGACCCACAGAATCTGAAACTTCGCAAATTCTGCAGTGCCAGGCTCTGTACAGGCATCTTGATTTCTTAAAAGCTATATTATATCATGTGTTTCCGGATTAGAGCTTGATCCGAGTTTCTTGAACCAGAAGATCAGCAACCATCTCCAGGAACTGGAGACTCTTTCGAGTGGGACGCAGAAATAGTTGCTTGATAGCAACTGGTCTTGTTATTCATATCCCATTGGTATGCTGGTGCTATAGTTTCTGCCAACAAATGGTCATTGCAGCTGGGAAATTGGGAGTGAAGGAGGACAAAGAAAGAAGTGGTACGAAGAGAGTGAATGGTAACAAACCTTTGCACTTAGTACAAAATGGTCACAAATCTTTTATTTGTAACAATACGGTAACAAAACTTTGAAATTGTATAAAATGGTCACCGCTATTTAATTTATGACCGTTTTGTTTTAAGTTCAAAGGTTTGTTACCGAATCGTTACAAATTAAATGTTGGTCATGTTTTGAGGTCGGGTAGTTTGTTCGTTAAGTATATGACACTAACCACTTGAACGACATATAAGATATCAGGTCATGTGTGCATCAACATATTTGCTTTGCCGAATAAGAATGCCCTAAGTTGACCTTTCAATTTCGATACCAAAAAAGTAAGAAAGTAGACATAGTTTTTTCAACTAAAAAGCAGTCTGGAACCCGTTTGTGAGCCATTGAGTTCTCTCATTGTCATCCTAAACAACATAATATCATTCACATAAATTAACAAAACCATCATACAACTAGAGTGAATTGTAACGGTGATTGAGCGTTCAAACTTTTGAACTTAATTTGTACAAAACGGTCCCCAAAAGTCTAATTTGCAACGACACGGTAACAAAAGTTTGAACTGGTATGAAATGGCCACACTATTTAATTTGTGACCGTTTTGTTCTAAGTAAAAAAGTTTTGTTATCAAATGGTTACAAATTAAAGGTTTGTGACTGTTTTGTACTAAGTGCAAAGGTTTGTGACCATTTATGCTAATTACCCGGTATTATTGTGATGAACTCGTCTATTTAATGAAGTGTACGGTGTACCCCCAAACCCCTTCTCTCTCCATTTTCAAAACCTCCCTTCTCTCTAGGTTTCCACCAAGGTTGGGCTTATCCGGACCTGGTCGAGCTAGTGGGTCAAGGGTTAATGAGACGCCCGGTTTAGCCCAGAAATATGGAAAGAGTTATTATATTGTACTTATCCTGATAAATTATATTAAATCTCATCTAACATACGAGTTATAACATGTAATATTACACCAAAATAACATCACGTACTTAGATCCACCATATAGTGAAAATTCACACACATTTATATAGCATCAATATTCAAATGTTCAACTTAGAATTCCAAAGATTGAGTTAGGCGAAAATAAAAATCGGAAAATAGGTGCATTTCGCAAATCAAAGAAAAAAATGACACAATTTGACCTCCAACCCGGTACCTTCTAGCGGTCGACCTGACGGGTGCGTGCGGCCCGTTTTCTCACCGGGTCAGGGTCAAAGTGGGTCGACCCGCGGGTTGACAACCTTGATTTCACCATCTTTTCCTCAGGGATGCAGTCGACACGACCACCAGCACCAGGTGACCGACGGTTGCCCAAGTTCTCTTCTCTGTATTTTCCAATTCTCTCTCATTGGCATTTTCCTTGCGGTTGCTTTGTCTTCCCAGTGTTCGATGGTTTCTCCATAATTTTCTTAGTTTCAGCAATCGTTGGCTTTTCTTGCCCTTAGTGGCTTTCTCCTGATTCCTAAGTGGACTCCTCCCTTAGTCATCCCGATGAAGTTGGATTTATCTTGTTCCGATCTAGATTTTTTAGATATGTTTTTGGCTTCGCTATGCTTCGAGTTCGGATGATGCAGATTAGGGAATTTTGGTGGATTTGATGTGAAAGTTTACCAAATTCTTGATGTGGTCATTCTAGAGGGTGATTGCATTCGACATCCCCCCCCCCCTCGAGCATGGTCTATGCATCCCTGTCAATCGTTTGAAGTGGGTAGCATTATCTCCTTCGGTTGCCATGATGGTTGGTCCATGGTTCTCAGAGAATTGAGTTTCACCTAGGGTTGTTTTGCTTTTGTATTTGTGTGTTGTTAGTGATGTTATGAGTATTGTACCCTTATGTTTTGGTTTTGTGGTTTGTCTCTGGTGTCTGAATTGAGTTTCACCTAGGGTTGTTTTGCTTTTGTATTTGTGTGTTGTTAGTGATGTTATGAGTATTGTACCCTTATGTTTTGGTTTTGTCGTTTGTCTCTGGTGGATGTTGGGTTTCTACACTTGGGATTCCTACTGGTGGTACTAGTCTCTCTTTTTGGTGAGCCTTCAACCCTTCGGTATGCTCTGGGCTATGTTTGTCATGGTTCTCTTCATATCCATTTTCTTTGGTCTAGTTTTAACTCTGAACAGTCAAATTTCAGTATTGTCCACCGCCGCGTAATCTCAATTTGGTGATCCCTATGATGGGTCATCTTCGAAAAACTCACCGAAGGCGACATATGTTGTTGCTTTATTCAATTGTCATAGTAGAGCCTGTATTGAACAAGGCGAATTGGTGAAGTTGTGTTTTGGCCACTTCGACGAAAGACATTGCGAAGAGTGCTTTGGATGCTCTGCGATTTTACTAAAGTCGTTGTCTTGTTTGATTATGATTTGTTTTCTTTCATTTTAAGTTTGTTTGATTATCCTAGATGATGAGTTTGTCTCCCTTTTTCCTAGATCTCATGTTGTTATCTCCTCTTTGTAATCGAGACATATACAAGTGATCAGTTAGAACATAAAAAAGCTCGTCAACTCCTAGTTTGCTGACCATGAAATTGGGTTTGTTATCTTTTATTTATATTTTATCGCTCTACTTTTGTCACATTCTCCCTAATCAAATAAGATGACGCAAGTTGTGTAAAAAAAAAAAGATGACGCAAGCAACATACCTATGACATTTCCCGTTATTTCCTCCCCTTTGCGCCTCTTCTTAAGAAGAACAAAGATGACACTAAAGAGGTTTTGTTTTGTAGGTTTAGACAAGACATTACAACACTCCTAATTCATAAATGCACTGTTTGAGTCTCATCAATGTGATAGGTCAGGTTTTTTTTTTATAAATGCAATAGGTCTTGGAAATGACATCTTAATAGGGAATAAGGTGATGCTTCAAAATAGGGATGACAATTTGAATCCACCCTGTTGGGCATTACCCAACCTGACCGGCGATGGGATGGGTATTACTCGACCGGTTGTAGTGTGGGGCGGGACATGGGTATTTACTTTCGACACGCCTTGCCTCCTCCGTTCTTTGCTTATTATTTTCCAATTTCTTGCAGTATCTACTAATATTTATCCTATTTTGACTTTTCTTCAACTAGTTAGACCTTATCTTTAAACGAGCTAAACTCAATTGCCCATTTTATTATCACTTTGTTTCATTCATAAAACATTTCCTCCTCCGTTTTATTGTAAAATGTAAAATTTGCGTGTATTTGTTTCAAATAACATATAAGAGTGGGTCGACATGTCCCGCCCCACCCCGACCCACAGTAGCGTGTGGCGAGACAT